AAGATGTTATTGAATCATTTTTTTCCCCAATCTACCATTTATTTTGCAGCACAGTGATTCTGTAAAGATACAGCTTAACAGCTGGCTGGAACTTGTCCCCAGAATCTGTGTGAAGTCCTATTTTGTTGTTGTTTTGTTTTTCATTGTGGTTCCTCTGTGTACCCCTGGCTGTCCTGGAACTCTGATTGGTAGATTAGGCTGGCCTCAAACTCAGAGATCAGCTTGACTCTACTGGGATTAAAGGCACAAATTTCCACCTCACAGTGAAGTCCCAATTCTTTTTTTTTTTTTTTTTGTTTTTTTGTTTTTTTGTTTTTACGAGACAGGGTTTCTCTGTATTGTTTTGGAGGCTGTCGGTCCAGCCCGGCCTCGAACTCACAGAGATCCGCCTGCCTCTGCCTCCCGAGTGCTGGGATTAAAGGTGTGCGCCACCGCCCGGCGAAGTCCCAATTCTTTAGGGGGGCACACCCTCCATCTGGGAAGCCCCTCCCCTTCAGTCTCCTGGCCTGTCTTCAGCTGCACTCACTGCTCAGCTCGGAGTCTCCCCACCTATGGGGACCTCTAACACTGTCCCCAGGTGCATGCTCTACTTGCCCAAGCCTCCCTGTCCTTGGAGATACAGCCCAACCCCTTTTCAAAAGTTTGAAAATGTTTTAGTAGATATATATTTGCACACATTTATAGGGTACAAGAGGGTCGTCCAGTATGTGTACATGATGTGTTGTGCTAAAATCCAGTGTGAACAGCCTTTCTGCTGCCTCCATGCTTGTCATTTCTAAATGTTGGGAACTTTTGGACTATTCTAGCCATCTTCCTTCTTTCTTTCAAGGTTCTTACTCTTCAAAAAATTTTTAAAAAATAATTTTATGTGTATGAATTTTTTTCCTGCATGTTCATGTGTACCATGTGTGTGCAGTGCCCACAGAGGCCAGAAGGAGGCATAAGATTCCTTAGGATATGTAAGTGGAGGCCCAGATGGTTGTGAGCCACCATGTGGGTGCTGCGAACTAAACTCCAGTCCTCTGGAAGAGCAGCCAGTGGTTTTACTGCTGAGCCATCTCTCCAGGCCTCTCGTTCTTACCTTGAACTTATATTAATTAGCCCCTTTTCTTATTGCTGTGACATATTTGACAAAAGCAGTTTAAGGAAGGACAGGCTTATTTTGGCTCCCGTTTGAGGGTACTGTCAGTCGTCATGGAGGGAGGTGGCTCTGAGGATGAGGGCAGGAGTGGGGGGGTGGGTCACCTTGCACTCACTGTCAGGAGGCAGAGAGATGAGTGCTGGTGCTCAGGTCACTCTCTCCTTTTTCTGTAGCCTGGGACCTCAGACCACGGCATGGTATCCACTCCTACCCCTCCCCTCCCCCTCCCCTACCGCACCACTGCAACTGTTCATGGCAGGTCTTTCCACTTCCATTGGCCATCTTTGAAATGACCTCATAGACACCCCCAGAAGCTTGTCTCTTGGGTGATCTGTAAAGTTGAAAACCGAAATTAATCATCGAGTCATGGAGCCACCTGCCCATGCTGTGAACACTAGACCTAATCCTCCTAGCTAACTATGCTTTGACACCCATTTTCCCCATCTTTTTTCTCTCCCCTTCCCAGTCTCCAATGGTCACTATCATACTGCGTTTCATGAGCTAGATTTGTGGTGTGAGAACATGTGCTGTTTGCCTTTTTTCCTATACCTGGCTCATTTCGCTTGGTCAACCCCTTAGTGCCCTGAACTCCCCAGCCCTCATCAGATACCCCACTGTCACCCTGTGGTTGGTTTTTTATGCTCCCTTTCTTCAGTGTGACAGGCACGGGCTTCTTGAGGCTTATGGGGTCAACTCATGTGGCAGATTTCATTTAAATTGATTTTTAAAAAGATTTATTTATTTATTATATATACAACATGTATGCCTGCACGCCAGAAGAGGGCACCAGATCCCACCATAGATGGTTGTGAGCCACCATATGGTTACTGGGAATTGAACTCAGGACATCTGGAAGAGCAGTCAATGCTCTTAACCTCTGAGCCATCTCTCCAGCCCCTTGTTTAAGTTAATTTAAACTTGGATAAAAATAAAAACCCAGTTTCTCATTTGCCCCAACCACTCTTCAGTTACTTAGTTGTCATACTTGGGCAGTACCCACCTAGAGCATTTCCACTCTTGCAGGGAATGCTAGACTTTGAGTTCCTGGGGGCTGAGCTCAGTCACTCACTGTCATATACAGAATTTTGCTGAGGGCTTGCCTGCCCCATGGCACATGCTGGAGAAATATTTCTCACAGTGAACCAAAACTGAACAGATAACAGGATTGCCGCTGGGAAGATGGCCAGAGTGCATCTGTGAGGCCTCTGATGGAGTGATGTGAGGGAGGGAGTATGCTCAAGAGAATGGAACCCTGAAACAGCTCACAAGTCTGTTACTATGGTGGTGTTGGGGGTGGATGTGTCGAAAAGGCTGCCTGCTGTCCTGGGATTAGTGGGCAGCCTGGCTCAAGGGACAGTTTGGTGAGGGCCGGAAGGATACTGGAAAGCGAATGAAGAAGCTTGGATTTAATCTTTCTGGGACTAACAGAGGAAGGGCGTGCTCTTAGTACCGGAAGAGTCAAAATCATCAATACAATTCCTTTGATCTGGACCTAATGAAGTAAAGGCATCCCGATCCCCCACCTTTCTGGGTGTTTTGTACACAAGCGAATGACAGATCTTTCTCCTGCTGTGCAGTAGCCATAGTTGCTGGGGTCAACTCCGTAGCCTCTGTTGCTGAGTAAGGCTCTGGCAGCTGTGGTGTCTCCTCATTCATTATTCATGACTAGATCAACTTTACAGAACTGAAGCTTAAATCTGAGAAATTGGGGCTGAGAAAGAATGGCAGGGACTTGCCCTTTCAGCATCAGAGCTTTCCTCTTCACTCCGGAAAAAACTTCTCGAGGGAATGGTGCCAAGACCTGATGGAGGAGAAATGAGTTTTCATGATGTATCAAAAAGTGCACCTAAAGGAAAAGGAAATGGTCTCTATACGTGGCTGCGGAGGGGAAGACTCTAGAAGAGAGAAAGCACAAAGCGTCTTGTGAGGGTCACCACAACGTGAGGAGCTGTATTAAAGGGTCAAAGCATTAGGAAGGTTGAGAACCACTGCTTTAGACTTTTTGGGAAGCATTTATTGGACCTGCCTTGTTTTGGATATGATTTTTTAATGTTATTTTGTTTTTTGTTTTTGTTGTTTTTTTTTGGAGACAGGGTTTCTCTGTGTAACCCTGACTGTCCTGGAACTCACTATGTAGACCACTGTGGCCTCAAACTCACAGAGATCCACCTGCCTTTGTAAAGGCATGCACCACCACTTCGGGGCTTCAGAGGACAACTTTCAGTGATCATTTCTCACCTTCTACCACGTGGTCGCAAGGACTGAAGTCAGATCATCAGGCTTGGTGGCAAGCACTTTTATGGTGAGCCAGCTCACTGACCCCACATTGTGTTTTCACTCCAGCGGGGAAGGTGGGACCGGCTGGCGCAGGCGCAGTTCGGAAGGTTATTTGGTTCCTTGCTCTGAACTCGTGGCGTGATTGATTCCTTGGGGGAATCACTCAGCCTTTCGAGTCTTCAGTCTTAGTTTCGCAATTTATCACCCCATTTTTCCTGTCGGTCTACTGGGATGGAACAAAGTTTGCTGATCAGTTTAGCAAATGTATCCTCTCGGCTCCCAGCTTTTGTTAATTACAATAGAAGAAAGCACAAGGTCTCCGGCATATCCGGAGGTGAGTGGATCTCGGGTTAAGGACTCCCTTCCTGGGCCTGTTGTAGGGTCAGAGGATTTCAGCTGGGACCCAAAGTATTTCTCCTGGGAGGCCCTTTACTGCTGCCCCGTGGTGGGAGGGACTTATCACGGGGGCGGGAGATGCTTTGAGGGGAGTTGCATTGGGGTGTTATTATTTTTTTTTTAAAGCATTCTTACTGGAAAAGGAATTGTGCCCAAGGGAGCAACCCAGATGCAGATTAGAGCTACATCAGTCATATCAGTGTCTCCTCCTTTCCCCAAGGTCAACAGCACTCTGCCGGGTGTGTGTGGGAGCAAGGCGACAACTCAGGTGGGACAAGCACAAACCGTTCAGTTCTCTGGCCCTCCAATACAGCACTGGCCCCAGGCACAGAGACCCCCTTCCCGGTGTCGCAGTTGCTCTTCTCTTTCCCAAAGAAGTCACTGAAATTGTCACATGAGAGATCACAGAAGAATATTTTGTTTGAGATAGGGACCCGGTTGATTTGCCCAACTGTTGGGACTGCAAGGGCTGGGCACTTTTGTGTGGTAAAGACACATTCCCTGATAACTCAGGGTGAAAAGAAATTACAAACCGTACAAAGTAGGCGGCCGCTGCACGCTCCCGGCGAGCCCTTTCAGGTACCAACCCCAGATACCCACGAGTGCGCTGGCACGCACACCACGGAAAACAGCTTTAAAAAAAAAAGAAGCGTCAGGAAGAAGTATGCTGTCAATTGCCTCTGCTTTTTGCTTTTCTCACTTGAAACTAGGTCTGGGCGCTGGGTTTCTGCCAGCCCCACCGAAGCTGCCTTCCCACGGCGGGGTCAGATTCACGGTCACAGTCCCCTATGCTGGGCACTGGTCCATTTCCCCTGTGGCCCGGGTCTATGTGACCGCCCTCGGTGCTGGACGACCCGCGGGAACTTTTCCCAGGCGATCGCGCGGGGCTGGGCAGGTTTCTCACAGTTGAGTATTACTTTGGCTTTAAGGTTGTAAATCTCTGAAAGAAAAAGAAGCCTAGATTGGGAAACTGAGCCCGGCCGGAGGGCGGAGTCGTGCGCTGCCCCGCCTGGGCCCCGCGGGCGGTCCCTGATCGGGTCCCCCTCCCGGGAGCCGTGCCCGCCCCCCGGCGCCTCGTCATCGCCGCTAGGCCAATGCGCTGGGCCGCTCGGCCGCTAGCACTCACACCCGCTGTCCTCAAGACCCCGACACGCCGTCCCTAGCGCTGGTCTTCGGCTGGTCCAGTCTGCAGCCGTCGGAGTCGCCATGCTGTCCCCACGCAGAGCGCTCTTCTCTCTCTTGCTGCTGCTGCTGGCGGCGCCCTCCTTGGCGTTGCCGTCCGGGACCGGCCGCTCGGCCTCAGCTGCCACCGTCTGCCCGGAGCGTTGCGATCCCACACGCTGCGCCCCACCGCCCACGGACTGTGAGGGCGGCCGCGTCCGGGACGCGTGCGGCTGCTGCGAGGTGTGCGGTGCGACTGAGGGCGCAGCATGCGGCCTGCAGGAGGGTCCCTGCGGCGAGGGGCTGCAGTGCGTGGTGCCCTTCGGGGTGCCTGCCTCGGCCACAGTACGACGGCGCGCCCACGCCGGCTTGTGCGTGTGTGCTAGCAGCGAGCCGGTGTGTGGCAGCGACGCCAAGACCTACACCAACTTGTGCCAGTTGCGCGCCGCCAGCCGCCGCTCCGAGAAGCTTCGCCAGCCGCCGGTCATCGTCCTGCAGCGCGGCGCCTGCGGCCAAGGTACCCGCCCCACCCTGCGCTGTACTCCTGGGTGGCTCCCCACCCTTGCCATCCCAGTGCGACCTGTCCGGGCCGAGGGCAGTAAAGAACTGTGTGGTGTTGTGGGTATCCAGTCGATGGGGACTGGACTCAGGATGACTGTGTTTCATGGGCTTCCTCGGACCCAATTTCTGAGCTCAGCATCGGGTCGTTCCGCGCAACGCCTAGCAGGTGTTTTGTGCGCTTTGGTCCCCCAGCCCCTCTCCAGGGTTACCCCGGTGCTGTTGGGGAGAGCCACATAGCACCGGGATCTTGGCATGTTGATACCTTGGGACCACAAGAACTCCTGTTTGTCGCCTCCCCTTCTTCCTCCCTCTCCGCTGCTCCCTTTCTTCTTGGAATTAGCCAGGCAGTGTTTTTCTAGATTCTCTTAGTGAAAACTTTCACTTTGGAGAGATGGGAAGAGGGAACAGCGCTGCCCAAGTCAGCCCACACTTTCCTCACCTCGTCTCCTAAGCAAAAAACGGCTTAGTACCCCGACCCTCTTGCTTCTATTTGATTTAACTTTACAAAAAGAAAGCCCCACAACTTGTCCTTTGGTTCTTTTGAATGAGCTCAACTAGGTACTGGACCACACGATTTGTAGAGGTAGAGGAGAGGCCCACTAGGGATGAGGAAAAATGTCCCCCCACTCCCTCCTTATGTGACCTTTCTGTACCAACAAGAGTTGGAGTGGCAGAGAGGTGGTGATGGAGTGAAGGAAGTTGGGGAGGTGCCCGTCTCCCTGCCGGACCTTCCAGAGAAATGCTTTGGTTAAATTCAGAGATACCCTGCGGAAAAACAGTTAAGTTCAGACTGGCCACTCTAGCGGTGTGGGGACCAGCCAGCTGGGCTTGGTAGAGTAGTTGGCTTCAGTTACAGGGCTCCTGCCCAAACCTAGCACCTCCCTCTGGGCATGTGGTGGGGAGGATAGGAAAGCACAGGACAGAGGATTGATCTAGATGTTTCTTTACAGGAATACGGTACCGTATGACCACTTTGGATTTGGCAAAGTTTAAATCACATGGACAGAAAGGTATTAGAGTGGTGTAGGAAGAGGTATTTATATTTTTACCACCAGAGCACAGGGCTGAACCTCAGCCCCAGGAAGCTCAGCCTCATTAGAGAGAGGAGAGTTTTCCCAGAGAGGCCTGATCCAGAGAGCTTCCTAACCAACATGTTGAGGAGACACACCAGCTAAGCCCCAGCCCATGTGACAAATGAGTTACCTCTGGAGAAGGAAGCTTCTGTCATCATTATTGTCTTACACAAAGTGGAAATGAGGTTGAATAACTTGTCCAAGGCCACCCAGCTCGAACTTGAACACCAGCAGCTTCATTCAGATCAGGCCAGAGCTTGACCCCAAGGTTGCAGGGAAGGCTTTTTCAGTGGGCTGGAAGGGCTATCTCACACTGCGGAGGAGTGGGGGACAATACAGCCGCTGAGTGGACACTTCTTTGGGGTGGAGACTAGCTTGGTATTGCGGGAGACAATTAGAGATGCTCAGAAGTAACCCAGAGTAGCGGCTCAGAGCCCGCTGGGGAGGAAGGTGTGTCATACAAGCTGATGTTCTGGAATGGTTCTCAAACAGGTGCTGCTCAGAGGAAGGCTGTTGTAGTACTAACAAGGCATGCCGAAGGTAGTAGTCTGGGCTACTTCTGCAAGGATCTGGGTGTGTGGCAAGGACGTTAAAAAAGCATATTTTGATGAAAAACAAGACAGCTGTTACTGTTTGTAGCTTCGCGGGGCCCTGAGTTACTGACACCATGTGGAGCTGGGTCAGTTTAGGCCTGGAGTTAGCAGAAACCAAATACTTGGCTGGTTGAGTTATAGGCCCCTTGCTGGCTCAGTCCCCCAGTGAGGAGACAGTCAGGGAAGCATACGATTGGTGGCTCTGGAAAGGAGTGTAGAGCTGGAGGTCAGTCGTCCTTCCTCCTTTTGTAAATACTTGTTGCTCTGCATTGTGTCTAACATACTATGCATGCCTGCCTGGTATTTAGGCACTGAGGGTTATATGGGTGAGTGGATAGAGAGACAGGGGTGCTTGGCACACACTAACCCATATCTTTGCTATGCCTTTACTCCCCATCTGAGGCTGTGTCCTGAGATAGCTCCAGGGCCCTGGGAGTCAGTTACCTTCATTCAGCCCGATCCCGGCTCCAGCTTTCAGCAGCTGATGCTTAGGGCCTCTGGCCCACTTGTTATCCCAGCTGAATACTACCTGCTCCGGGGTGCTATCGTAGCTGGGTGGACACAGAGGCCTTTGCTAAGAAGTACCACTAAGGAGAAGGTGAGGGGAAGCTCTGTGAGAACACACTGAAGCAGAAAGGTTCTCAGGCAGGATGTAGTCAGAAAGTTCAGGAGACAGGTGGGAATGTGGTGGGAGGAGATGTCCCAGGCATTGCTTTGGGCGTCATGGTAACCCTTTGGATGGAGAAAATGCCATCACGCCCGAATGGAACTCTTGTCTGTAAGTTGGTTAATGAAAACATCGAGAACATCTCTTATTTGGAAATACAGACAAATAATCAATGCTTCGGGGTTTGGCTGAGAAGTATGCAGAGGACAAGGATCTATTATTATTGACCAGGGGGTGCAAAACGGAAGTGAGAATAAATGGGTGTGCTGCTTCACGCCTGCGATTCCAGCAAGAGTTCCAAGGGTTCGAGGCCAGTCTTGGGCAACAGACTGTGTCAAATTAAAAAATAAAAAGTTTCGATCAGTACAAGGTAGCAGCAACAAGGGTGTCCTGTAATTCACACTTCTGCACCAGGCATCTGTTTACCAAACCTCTGGTCCTCCTAACAGTGCCTGTGTTGTAATTCTCCCGGTACAGCTGACCCTCACACAGCAGCACCTTCCGCCCATGCGTGGATCCGGAACCCATTCATAACCACCACTCTGTGCTGTTGACGGAGCAACGGAGATTATAAACCAGATCCAACTAAGTAGCAGCTAATAGCTGAAATAAACAACGTTCCAGATGGCCCTGACTTTGGGACTGTGAGGATCTCTCCTTTAACGGGCAAGGTGGCCTTCAGTTACTGGCCAAGGAGGGGCACAGAGCAGAAGGGGTTGTAGTAAAGATGTGTCTCCAAGGAGTCCCAAACTGTAAACCATTCTTGAGCGGGAAAGGGACATTCCAAAAGACCAACCACAGTGCGAGGTGCTGCAGATGTCTGCTAAAGAGCCAGGAAAAAGCCTCCCCACCTAGGAGAAACCTAGTCCATCCATTCCTCCTGCTATACACGCCAGGAAAGCCTACCCTCTCCAACGCATCCCAAAGGGACAAGCCTAGAGGTTTCCAAGCCTCAAGTGGGGGCAGAGAAGAGCTGGAGGGGACAGGTAGAGGTTTTCAGAAGGTCTCACTCCTGGCCTCACTCCAGAGCCTCTGAAGGCAGAGGCTACAGAACAGAACTCTTGGAGGCATGAATGAACTATTTGTAAAGCTGACTTTATTTAGGTGGCTCTTTTATGCGAGCCTTGAGCAGGTTGTCACTGTGAGCTTTAGTGCTTGGCCTGGCTGGACCATGGAGATACAAGAAATAGCACAAAGTCCCTGCCTGATGGAGATCACAGTTAACACAGTGGGGGTAAAGACAGTCATTCATTACCAGAGGCTGTTTCCTTCTGTCTAGTGCAAGCTCACTAAATCACTTCTGCTTTTGGCAGTTGGATGTACCTTTTGCCACTTAAAAAGATATACATATAGGGTGGGAACTAGGCTTGTCTTAAGGCAGGGTTGGTAGAAAGAGTGAGTAGGATTCTGTCACCTGAACTGTCTTCCTAACCTTTGTACAGCTTTTCTCATGGGCTGGTGTCTTCCCCTATTGCCCCAATGGTTTGCTAAAGTGTTAAATAGCAAGACTTGATAAAATTAGCAAGTTAACCGGATCAAAAGCCAGACATTTGGTTTACTTTATCCCATCCCAGGGAGCAATAAATAGATTGCCTTGGAACTTAACGACAATTGGTCAGGGATGGCGGGGTTGTGAGCTAGCTGGCCAGGTGCCTCATCACGATGGCCCGGATTCTGAGCTGGTTTGGAGCTGAGTGATGCTGGATGGATTTCATGCCTTGGATTCAGACATCAGACTTTCCATGAGCTTACATTTCTCATGGACAAATAGCTCTGGTCCCGAATGCTGTGAGGGAGTGGCCATGCTTGGCAGTGCTTTGAGGACGCCTTGAGTACCCACCCCGGCACTGGCTGGTTGTGGGTCCAGACCTGACCAATATTAACCCCTCTGGCTTTCAGGGCTGAGACAATGAAGGGCCTGTATCTGTGGCTTCTGCGGTCCCTTTTAGCTAGAATGGGTCTTCTAAGGAAACTGGTCCATGAAGGGATCAAAGGATGCTACGAGGTGCTTTTTGTTTTCCCTTAAATTACCATGGGAAAAGCCAAGGGTGGCACTGAATGGTGGCCCCCATCATGTGCTTAGCCACCTTCACACCTGCGTTCTGCCAGCTTACGAATGTTTCTGGGAGACGATGGGATTCACATGCTCACTCCTAAGAACCCATGCTCCTTCTCTGACTTTGAGTCCTGCCTCTTGGTCTGCCAGGCTGAGATCCCCACTGAGCTATTTCTTTTGCTTTTCTACCATCTCTGCTTCCAGCAGAGGACACGAGGAGGGTCAGAATGCTTTCCCTAAAGGCTCTCAGAAATGGCTGGAAGGTTGGTGTGCTTCGGTCCTGTTAAACGACAGGTGTCTAGAGCCACAGGGGAGCATTAGCCAAGGCAGCATGCTTCAGAAACAGACATAAGTGGTGATGGAGAGGGATGTGTACGGGTGGTGCTGGAGGGGTGCCCAATCCATCTTTCAGAATCAATTCATCCAGTGCATTTACTGAGCAACTACTGTATACCAAATCAAGGGAATGAGAGGCCAGATTGGCTGGCCTTTCTTAGCCCGATGACCCCTGACTGTGGACTAGACTGCTTTCTGAGCTTTCTGGGATGTGTGACTGGTGTCCTCACT